GGAGACCGAGCAGAAGGTAAAACTTCACTCCACCGGTTGACTTCCTTACTCTGTGAAATTAATGGATGACTTTGTTTTTTTTTGTTCTCCACACACACACATGTGTGTGTGTGTATAATATATATATGCATTTTTTTAAAATTCATCTTCGTCTACTCATTCCCCCTTTCAGCCCCCTCCTCCCCAGCTGCGGTTTTGGTTCAAAGGACGTTTAGTTCTTGTCCCTCTTCAGCCTTTTGCTTTCCGCCCGATCGGACCCGTGCGCCTCAACACACACACACACACACACACACACACAGCAAGACGAAAAAAAAGGCCGCCCTCCCATTATTAGCAAAGAATGAAAGGGGAAGAAAGAGAAGGAAAGGGGGGCGTGTCCGTATCTATGTGACGAATCGGCAACAAAATGTACAAGCCAAAAAAGAACAAAATAAAAAAAAAGAACGGATGCATCGGGGCTGCTCGATGCAGCACAGACTGCGAGAAAACCGGCGATAGATAGAGACACAAATGAAGAAGTCAGCGATCGATTCGTGTCTGCATGCCTGCCTCAGGGATGACTCGTGGCTACGAAACCTGTGCTGGTCTTCCCTCGGTCCCTGTTGCTTTCGCACTGCCAGGAGACTTCTCCGCGCCAGTGGAAGCCCCAATATGCATCCCACCCTGCCCCCATTCACTCCCCATCTCTGTCTTCCCCTTTGTTGAACACCTTTCGATCCGTCGTTTTTTTTTTTGTCCTCTTTCGCTTTATAAATTTTTCTCTCCTTCCTGTAGCCCCGTCACCCCCTTCGCCTTCCTGCCCACTCTCCCCCCTTTCTTCATCTTCTGTCTTCCGCAGTTCCTTCCCTGCATACACCGGCGTGCGTCCTACCAATCGTACTGTCCCGCTTTTGGCTTTTTTCTCTCGCTTACCTCAACACCGTTTCCTCATCCACTCATTCTTTCACCCTCATGCGCGCTCGCTTGCTCTCTCTGCCTCCTTTCTTCATGCACGCTCTACACCTGGCTCTTGTTCTGCAGCTTGTCACTTCTCTTTTCTTCTTCTTTGCCTTCGTCGTATGTGAGCATGTGCATGGCGCCGCGTTTTGGCCTGATTCTCTCGTCTGCCCCCGATCTCGCTCCTTCCTACTCTCGCATCCTTTTACTTCTTCCTCTTCTCATTCTGCCCTTTTCGTTCCTTTCCTCGGGGCACGCGTCGCGTGGCTGGGCACTCATGGTTCCCCCACTTCTTTACCTCATTCTCTCGTTGTTGCTTACTTCAGTGTGTGTTTTTTTTTCTTCTTCTTCTTCACTTCTTCGCCGTTTCCTTCACAGCCCCCCCGCTGGCTTTTACTCGCCCACTTTCCGCGCTCCCTGCGGGGGGCTGTGCCGCACTATACTTTGGGCGGCTGCATCTCCTCTTCTTCGTCTCCCTCCCCTCCCCCTGCGCGTGCCTTCGCCCCACCCGCCGACAGCAGAGACGAGGACGAGGTGGGAGCGAGCGAGAAAAGGGAGTGAAGAAGCAAAAC